AGAGAGAGAGAGAGAGAGAGAGAGAGAGAGAGAGAGAGAGAGAACAGGAGAATGTTGCTCAGGTCATCAGAGCTGTAAGCACCAAGGTGTGATTTGGGTGTGCAACAAGGTCATTTGTAGAAGAAAGGGCCACAGACTGAGATGCTGATCTGATACCTTCGAGGAGAGAGGAAAGGTGGGGCCTCACGCTGAAGCCTAGTCCTAGGCTTGCTCAGCTGGTGTGATGGGAAGCCCAGCCAGCTTTAAGACAGAGAAGCAGAGATAGCCTGGCTCTGCCTCCTGTGTGGCCAGCATTGGATGGAGCAGCCCATGGTGGACAGTGCTATATGGGAGCAGGTCTGAGTGTGAAGAAGATATGGGGTTGAAGCGGAGCTATTTTGGGGTTACCCATGCTCCTGCCAGTAACCCCTCACCCATGCTTTATAAGTAAGCAGACATTGCTTATATCTTTGCAGGGAAGGAATTCTCACAAAAAAAGGGAGATGTCACCTAGCACTTGTATAGATGGCCACTGTCACAGAGATGAAAAATAGCTTGGTTTGGACGGTATAAAGAAAAATCTTGCACACTATTGGTGAGAATGCAAATTGTCATGGTCCAGTGGAACGACATATGGGGGTACCTCAGAGAGCTGAAACAGAACCCTCATGTGATCTAGCAATTCTATGTGAGAATAAGTATTTGGTACTTTTTTCTCATTGCTGTGGCAAAATACCTGACAAAAAAGTAACTTAAAGAATTTGTTTCGATTCGTGGTTTAAGAAGGGATATGGAGCTGGCCATAGTGGCGCACACCTTTAATCCCAGCACTAGGGAGACAGAGGCAGAACTCTGTGAGTTCAAGGCCAGCCTGGTCTACATAGTGAGTTCCAGGCCAGCTGGGGCTACAAAGAGACCCTGTCTCGAAAAGACCAAAAAATGAAAAAAAAAAAAAAACAAAAACAAACAACAACAAAAAGAAGGGGTATGGTTCCATCCATCATGACAGGGAAGTTCTACAAGCTTCAGAAACAACGCCACCCACTAGGAACCAAAGGTTCAAACACATGAGCTATGGGGGACTCTTACATACAGCAGTGGTATAATACAAAGAGGTGGAGGAGATAGGCATCTTTTTTTTTGGTCTTTTTGAAACAGGGTCTTCCTGTAGCTCCAGCTGGCCTGGAACTCACAGAGATCCACCTGCCTCTGCCTCCCAAGTGCTGGGTCTACAGGTATGCACCACCATGCCCAATCTCGGAATCTGAGTTCTAGAAGCAACTGGGTTGGTGCCACGGCAGGGATCACCATCATTGAGGGGGTAAAGTACAAGATCCAGGTTCTGCAGCAGCAAGCTGATGGAACAGAGGGGGCTGATGGTACAGAGGAGAGGGCTGATGGTATAGAGGGGGACGGTGGTGCAGGGGAGGGGGCTGTAATGCAGAGAAGGGCAGAGGAGAGGGCGATGGTGCAGAGGAGGTGATGATATAGAAGAGGGCTGAGTGCCTCCAGAAGGAAGTGGAAGGAGAAAGATGGGCTGGTACTGACAAAAGCTGAGGTAGCTTCCTTGAATCATAGGATCCAACTGGTTGAAAAGGAGTTGGACCTTGCTCAGGAGTGCCGGACCACTGCTCTGCAGAAGCTGGAGGGAGCAGAAAAGGCTACTGATGAGACAGAGGTATGAAGAAAAACGGAGCTCCAGGAAATCCAGCTAAAAGAAGCTAAGCACATTGCAGAGAGGTGGAAAGGAAGGAGGAAGAGGAGACTGGTAAGTTGGTAGTTTTTGAAGGCGACTTGGAATGCACAGAGGAACGAGCTGAGCCGGCAGAGTCCTGTTGCCAAGATGGATGAGATCAGACTGGTGGAACAGAACCTGAAGAATCTGAGTGCTGCTGAAGGAAAGTGCTCTCAAAAAGAAGACAAACAGTAATAAAGTTCTTACTGATAAACTCAAGGGGGCAGAGACCTGTGCTGCGTTTGCTGAGAGATCAGTAGCCAAACTGGAAAACACAACTGATGACTTGGAAGATAAGCTGAAGTGACCAAAGAGGAACACCTCTGTATGCAAAGGATGCTGGACCAGACTGCTGGACCTGAATGAGATGCAGAGCTTCCCAGTCCAGCCCTGCTCCTCCCTCTGGCTCTAACTCCGCCTGAAGCCAGCCTGCCGGAAGCTGGCCTTGAAACTGAGGACTGATTCCTTAACTGAAGGCTGCTTTCTCCTTTTGCCACCCCCTCTACCCCTCATGTTTTTTCACTAAATGGTCTCTGCCTCTTCCCAGAGTTCCAGATCACAGGGGTGGAGCACCAAAGGTGCTCCCAACATCCAACATTTAGGAAAATGTGAGCACAGAGTGAAAGTGTCTTTGATGCACGTTGCGATATATACATTTGTCATTACGTTTTTGTGGAGGAAGCCATTTGTCACCATTGTGACCCAAGTCATTCCACAGCTTGGAAGCAGCGATCTAATTCCTTTCTCCCTTTTGGAAGGTAACTTTTCAGACTAATGCATACTGCCCTCTCCATAGAGGAGGAACACGTGGGCCTGCCTTACTGAGAGTCAACAGAGCCCAGGCAAAAACTCCACTATGGGAAACCTCATTGTTCTGTACAGAGTTCTAGCTAAACAGAAAGGGGATTCTAAGAAGTTAGCCAAAAACAAACACCAATATCTGAAGGTTTCAGCTTTAGACATCTTTTTTTAATATTTTATTTATTATTTTATGTGTATGCGTGCATTGCCTGCCTTTTGGTAAGTGCACCCGTGCCATGCAATGCCCGCGGAGGACAAAAGAGGCTGTTGGATCCTCTGGAACTGGAGTTACAGACAGTTGTTAGCTGCCATGTGGGTGCTGGGATTTGAACCCAGGTCTTCTGCAAGAACAGCCAGTGTTCTTAACCACTGAGCCAACTCTCCGGGCCCCAGCTTTAGGTATCTTTAGACAACTTTATTCTTATTTTTATTTTTTTTAACTTTTTTCATCAGATGTGACCAAATTAAGGCAGTAAGACCCCTGAGACGCCCCCTTCTACTGCCTGAGGTCTTGTACATGCTAGGCAAGCTCTCTGCCATTCAGTTCCAGCCCAAGACCAAACTTGTGTCCTCTCTACCCACTTCCTGATGTCACAACGGATCATGTGCCCCTTAAGTGTTGAGGTGACCACTTAGTGCTCTCCTGCCTCCAAAAGAGAGAAAGATCATGTCTGTGCCACTGATGCAACCACCTGAGGTCCATTTCACCTTCTCTAAAGTGCCATCACATTGCGCTGTTACAAGTCTGTGCTGGAGAAATCTAGAATAGCTTTATGTATACAACTTTTAAATTTTTACATTATTTTGAAACTTTGCTTTTTGGAGGTTGAGTTACCTAAGTTACCCTATTGGCTGTAAGGACTTTTTGCAGTCTGTGAGCTAGCAGTGTGCTGAGATTTCAAAGTTTCCCCACCCAGTGCCATTTTTCAGTGGTTTCTGTGAGGCCTGTGAGGTGTGCATCCTGCAACTGACTGACTTGTTCATACTCTCTTCCGTTGTGGTCTCTTAGGGGCCAGGTGGGAGAAAGGGAATCCCACAGTGCAACTGTTTTGATACTGAATACTGGAAAGTGTCTTTTCAAAATAAAGAGCCAGTCCCTCCAGCCCTCAAAAATAAATAAATAAATAAATAAATAAAGCAAAGGAGACAGAGCAGCACACTGAGGAGACACCTGTACCTCAAGTTCACTATAGCATCAGCCACAATAGCCAGGACCAACCCAGCTGGCCTCAGAACTACACCCATAGCCACATTCCCCAAAGCCTGCAAGAACCTGCTGACAGGGTCTAGAGCCAGGGCTTTCTCCATCTCATCTTCCCGACACTGTCCCTTCACCCCCACTCCCTCAATCCCAGCTGTGTTTAATCAACCATGGCCTGAAGGCGCTGGGTACAGACTATGGGTAATTGGCAGAGGAAGTGGGGACTGACGTTCATTTTCCTCCATGGACCCCAATTCTACATTGCCTAGACATGGCAGTTCTTCACACTGTAGTGAGAATTTACTAATGGTGTTACTTTATTTGAGTAGGGGCACAACATAAGCACCCTGGGTACCCAGCATAAGGTAAGATTGATGATGTGGAGGGACAGCGATGTCTGCAAAACCCACCATCTCTAAGCATTGGAGTTCTGGTGACATGTACACTCCATCTACCCTGCACCCACCCTTAATGGAGAAGTAGGGGACCTCCCCTCCGACTTGCTTGCATGGCTCCCATAATATCTACCTCACACTGAAGATAAATCAGCAGCCAGATACATTTCACATTTACACTGTTTTTAATGTTCAAAAGCTCTGTACAAAAAAAAAAAAATCACAAAGGATTCCTCACAACACCCCTGTGAGGTAGGTAGGCAAGTATTGTGTTCCCATTTTACAGATGGGGCTACTGAGGCAGAGAGGTGCCATGATTGGCCAGTGGTCCCAGCATAGCTACAAGTCAGGGCCAATCATGAGAATGTAAAAGACTCCTCTCTGGTCAGTCCTGATCTCTGACTCCTTAACTAGACTTGGTCTGTAAAGAAACGAGAGCTTCTGACACGGGCAAAAATAGACACCAGCAAACCTGACAAGCTATGTGCTGAATAGCTTTAGTGTCAACTTGACACACCTGGGTTGAGGGAGCCTCAATTGGGGAATTGCCTTCATTGGACTGGCCTGTAGCCATGTCCATGGGGCACCTGCTTGATGAGTGATGTGGGAGGGCCCAGCCCACTGTGGGTGGTGCCACCCTTGGGCAGGTGGGCCTATGTTGCGTAAGAAAGCAGGCTGAGCAGGGGCCAGGGGAGCAAGCCAGTAAGCAGCGTTCCTCCATGGCCTGTGCTCCAGCTCCTGTGTCAAGGTTCCTGCCCTGAGTTCCTACCTTGGGCTCCCTGATGAACTATGACCTGGGAGTTGTAAGCTGAATAAACCCTTTCCTCCCCAAGTTGGTAGTGGTCAGGGTATTCTGTCACAGCAATGAAGAAACAAACCAGAACAAGCTGTGAACAGATGTACAGTAGTTTGCAAAAGAATTCAGCTGAGAGGGTCCCTATGTTCTGATGCCGGGTAGATGTGAACAGCTTTGGCCTCTTCTCTCCTTTCCAAATACCACAGCCAAAAGATGTCAGGTCCTTCTGTCTTTCCACTGAGGGGCATGAACCCAATCAGTTGTCATCCCTGGTCCTACAGAGCCAGGCAGGTGGTATCCAGGCTCCTGGGTGTTCAGCCCCTGGATGCAGCAAACTACAGTCCCAGCAAGGCCCACCAGACACAGCCAGCCCTCTCTGTCCCTCTTCCCACTGTGTGAACAGAACCACTCCTAGCTCTGCAGTCTCCCAGGGAGGCAGTTCAGGGACCCTGGAAAAGGTGGCCTGGAATCGGGGCCCTGACAAGCCACCAAGGCCCTGTTGCACCCTCTGCTCCCTCCCAAGAGCTGCCCTTGATTCTGTCAGCTACTCCACCTAGGTTTCTGACAAATGAAAACTACCTCTCCACTGCCTCCTTGGTCTTCACAAATTCTTTGCACACACTTTGGGAGTGGGGGCGAGAGGAGGGCTGATGCTTCCAGCTGCCTGGAAATCCTACCTTCTGCCAGCCTAGAGAAGGAAAGAGGAAAAGAAAGGCAGGAGAGGAAACCTGGGTCATGCAGGTGGTCCTCAATCTTCCAGTCTAGAGACGGACGAAGCTGCCTTTAACATTAACCCACCCAGCCACTGACACCTGCCTCAGGCAGCTGCTTAGGCAGAAAAAATGGGGTATAAGAGTGAAACGGCGAAAGGAAAGAAGGAAAGGAAACTGATATGGCCGGCCTGCTGTGTGCCTGGGCAGTTAGATGCCAGATAGTGAGAAAAAGAGACAGCGGTGGTGACTGGCAGTTTGGGGAGTGAGTCCCTGGAGGCCATTTGCCAGTTGGTCTGCAGGGTACATGCACTAGGCCTCTGCAGAGGACCATTGTACATCTCTCTGGTTTCAGGGAATGACTGTGCCATCTACACATCCTACAAAAAGCTGTTTCCTAAAGGTTTCCGACCCCATTCAGTCTCTCCAGAAAGCTGGGAGCTGTCCATCTAGAGAACCTTAGACCACCCCCAGCCTGCCTGACGAGGAACAGGAGGAGGATCTACAAGAAGTCCCCAGCAGCGGAGGGCTCCAGGTCTCGGCTCTGCTCCTGCCAGCGGTGACGCAACCTTGACAGAGGCTGGTCCTCCACACTCTCCAGCTCAGGGAAGCCCAGCTGGTTGAGAATCTCATAGACTCCAGCCTTGGATGCCACCTGGGGAGGGCAGAGATGGGGCAGGGCTTCAGGAGAGGGGGATATCATCAGGCCTATTTTCCTCATACCACCCTCCCCATGCTAGGGTCTAAGGCACAATGATGAGGCTGGGGCCCAGAGCTGTCCTCTCAGCCAGCTCAGCAGCTGGTCTGCCATGTCCACCTATAACCTCCTCTGAGCCTCTGTTTCCTTACTACAGGGTAACTGATGGTCTGTTCTTCCTGGGACTACATGCAGCAGGCTATGCAAGTGCAGGGGGCACTAAGCATGGCCAGGGCACCTCGGTCACACTGGCCTGACTACTCCAGCAAGCCACATGGGGGTAAGGAGGCTGCAGGAGCAAATGGCAGCCTGTTGGCTGGGAGTTCAGCTGTGGAGCTCAGTCCTCAGGCAGCCTGGCTTCTCTGCTTTGAACATTCACATGTTGCACCTGGCCCAAGGCTCCAACTATCGCCTGCACCTTCCTAGGGACAAAGATAATGCAATTCTACCTGTAGTAAAGAGGTGGCTCCATCCCTCTCACTGTCCCTTGCTACCCTCACCCCCAGCTTCTGTACATCCCAGGAGAGCAGCTGAGGCCTCCCACACTAGGACCACACAAACCAGTAGCTCTCCTTCCTTGATGTCCTTCCTCATTCATCACAAGATGTAGTTGGAGAGAAGAGCAAGCTTCCTCCCAACTCCTGGCTCCCTTGTCTAAACAGGGCCTAAGCAGAAAGTGTTCTTGTCCCCAGGCTGGGAACATAGCTCGATTGGTAGAGTGCTTGCCTAGCATGCACGAAGCCCTGGGTTCCATCTCCAGCAATACATAAGCCAGGCATAGTGGGGCACACCTATGATCTCAGCACTAGGGAAGTAGAGGCAGGAGAGTCAATAGTTCAAAGTCATCCTCAGCTACTTAGCAAGGTTTGAGGCTGTTCTGGGCTACATGAGTCTTTTCCCACCTACATTCCACTCCAGGCTCAAAAAGGAAGCCAAGCCTAGGCCTGCTCACCATGGTGGTTCCAACATAGGCCCCATCAGGTCTTCTAACTCTACACCCATCCTCATGCACAGGGCTCATTTCATGTCCTGCACCTCAACACCCCAAGGGCCCCAAAGCTCAGCAGCAACAGCATCCATTCCCACCTCCTTGGCTCTGCTCCCCTGCAGCGCGGAGCCCACCTCTACCCCCTCCTGAGGCCCTGCACCTGTCTTATGCCCATGCTGGCTGGGTCTTTGACTCTAGCTCTCCACCCACTCACCTCCTGATAGCTAATTTTGAACTCGAGTCCAGTTTAGGACAGCCAGATGGCTGGTGAGGTCAGGAGGGCCAGCTTCCTGGAGGAGGGGTAATTACAGGTTGCTTTGCCGGGAGGAAGGATACCTGTCTCTTGACCAAGTACCCAGAAGGATTACAGCAGAGGTTTGGGGGCTGGGGGGGCTAACTTAGGCCAGAACTATGTGAGCTTGGGGCCAAAGAACCAGTTCCCATGACAACCATAAGGAAGTCACTGAACCTCTGGGCAGTACTCTCTGTGTGAAACATGCCTGGTCTGGCAGGGACACCCACCAACCTTCCCAGACAACATGGACACTATCCCATCCTAGTGCTGAGGACAGCAGAGTTACAGGGTGGCCACCTTGTCCAAGGTGACTAGAATGAGGTAAGAGCAGGGATAAAACCTCAAGGAACCTTCACAGGGCACAGGTGAATGAAATAATGTGTCAAAAGTGTCCAGGAGTCCAGATGGTGCTGGCCATGGGGACACACAGAGCAGAGGCCCAGTGGCAGGCTGCCTCTCCACTCCCAACTCCCCCTTCTTCATTCATTCATTTACTCAGCTGTCACACTTCCTGGCTGGCTGCCTAGTGAGATACTAGGCTGGGAACCCAACAGGTGACTGGGACACAGTCTCTTCCCACTCCATAGGGTAGTCTGTCACCTGGGTCCCCACAGAGCACACACAGGGACCAGAGGAAAGGACTTTTCCTGCCTTGCCTTGTGAGCCCATCACTCCCAGGCTTGCTGGGCTCAGCCTTGTCTCTCACCTCCCTCATCCAGGTGCTGAAGGGCCTCTGCCAGGAGCTGGCCTTTTCCAGACGGAGGTAAGCGTTGAAGAGGATCAGGTAGATATAGCGCTCAAGGTACTGCAGGCTCTGCAGCTGCAGCCTCTGTGCCTCCTGTGCCTCTTTGGCAGCCTTTGCCTAGAGTACAGGGAGTGGGGTGTCAGTGTGGGGGCTCCCTGCCCAACATGCTCATCCACTGCTTGAGCACCTGGCAGAGTGATTCAGCAGTAGAGATTAGGGTGCTGTCTGGCTGCCACAGAAAAGAACCATGGGGGCCCCTGATTTCTGAGAGGGTCTCAAACCCACTTCCTATTAAGAAAATTCTCTATTTCCTCCATGTGGACCACCCTATTCCAAGGCAAATCTGTCAGCTGGGGATATCTGAGGTATAGAGAGGCCCTCCATGTGGCAGGGAGGGAAGCCCAGTCTCACTGATAGGGAGGACCCTGTGGCCAGTGCCCCAAAACCAGCTCCTCTCTCCTAGTCCCCTAGACTTTCTCTAGAGAGGTATGAAGCTCTGACCATGACCTGGCAGGGGGACTGGGCAGGGTTCTGACTTGAGGAGGCTGTCATCATTTCCTCCTCAGCCTGGGTTCACAGGGGTCACAGTCAGCGCCTCTCTGACTGGGAAGGGGAGGAACCCTAGCTCAGCCTCAGATCACACCTGCTCCCTACCTGACTTCCTTGCCTGTTTCTTCCTGGTTCAGGGTCAGAGGTGTCAGGGATGAGCACCCAGCAATCAGACACACCCCCATTCTCTCCAAGTTTAGATAAGAGAGACAGGAGGCCACCCAAGTCAGAGGCAGAGAGAGCCCTGGTGGATGGAGTGTATGATCTCCTTATTTATTTATTTACTTATTTTTTAAAATATTTTATTTATTTTTATTTTATGTGTATGAGTGTATTTCTGCATGTGTGTAAATGCACCTGTGTCATGTAATGCCCACAGAGGTCAGAAGAGGGCATTGGATCCCCTGGAACTGGAGTTATAGACAGTTGTCAGTCACCCTGTGGGTGCTGGAAATTGAACCCAGGTCCTCTGCAAGAGCTGCCAGTGCTCTTGACCGCTAAGCCATCTCTCCAACCCTTATTTACTTATTTTTGAGACAGAGTCTCACTATGTAGCCCTGGCTGGCCTAGAATTTGCTATATAGACCAGGCTGGCTTGGAACTCACAGAGATCTGCCTGCCTCTGCTTCTGGGATTCAAGGAGTGTGCTCCCACACCTGGCTGGGACCTCCCTCTTCCAGCAGGCCCTCCCAGGAGCCTGCTCTAGAAATGGCACCAGGCCCTGTGCTGGAGAAAAGGAGACACCCAGGCTCACAAAAGGGAATTCCCTAAGGGAAGGTAAGAGTCTGGGTGGGCCGTAAGAATCTCACAGACCTGGATAGTGAGGATGGACACTCAGTGGGGGCAGCAGAGAGGTGAGAACAGTGTCAAATGTGGAGGCACTACCCTGCTGGCCTGGGAAGGAGGATGCTGAGGGGCAAGAAGGAAAACAGACCCAACTTCAGAAGTCACTAGAGCTACATAGGACATTAAACCTCCATCTTGGGGTTCACAGTCTTGCTGTTCTTGAGAACTACATGGAGCCTTAAAATGCAGGTGCCTGACTCAACCCAGATCAGCCATCAAGGATCTCAGAAGGGTAGAGCCTGAGCACCGTGGCTTCAGCACTGGGGAGCCACTGGTGGTAAGAGTGGCTTTTTGGAAGAAGACTCATGGGAGATCCAACCCTGAGTAGAAGAGGACTTAAAGGGGGGACCCCTTTCAAGGTTCTCCTCAGCCTCGATTCAAGGGAACAGGCCAGGAACATGGTCTGGGACACACAGCCAGCCTGTCCTCTGTAGGGTGCTCTGCCACCATACCCCGCCCCCCACTGTCACCATGGATGTGCTGTCCATACATCCATGGCAAGGAACCTGAGGGAGAAGACCACCCACCCAGACCTGTCACTCCATCCTCACCACCCCCAGGCTTCTACCCAGGCCTACCACAGTTCTCTGATCCAGTAAAAAAGTGGCCCAGGGGTGTCCCTTGATCACTGGGACCATCTGTGGGAGAGTACTCACTGAGGGGCACAGTATACCCTCAGGGACCAGGGAGGGCTGCTCTCCTGACAGCTGGGCCACAGCTGGGTACCCTTCTGTGAACACACACAATGCTAGCCTACATGCTGTGGGAAAACTCCAGGGTGGCCTCCCACTCTGACATGACATGGCCCAGAATCACTGCTGGGGAGGGCCTGACCTCAAGCCCCACTTCTGCTTTGGGAACAGAGCCCCCAGGGTCATGTGAGGGGAGGTAACTGACAAAGCTGGGGACCCTGCGGAGGGAAGCAGGGTAGAAAGCGGACAGCAGGCTGTGCCAGGAAGCGCTTGGGGGCCAGGGGTCAGTGCTCTGGCTCCCTAGGAGGCACCAAGACCCATAAGCTGGTCTAGGTTCTGCTGTTAACCTCTCAGCCTCCAAGTTTCCAGGAGATAGGTGAGGAGGTACCTGTGACCCACACGGCACCACTGACTGAACAGGTCCAGAGCTACAAAGACGGATGGATACCACCCAGGCCGTCCTCTTTGGAGGTGCAGGTGATTTCAAAGTATTTATGTCAAGGATAGAAAGAAAGCAAAGGGGAGTGACCCGTGAGGTGGGTGAGGAAAGAGAGGCAGAGAATGCCAGGGGTCAGGAGGGAGGTGTGTCCCCAGGGTAGACAATGGGAAGGGAAACAAGGCTGAGGGAAGACCGGACTTGATACAATGTAGAGTCACCTGGGAAGGGAGTGTCAGTGAGGGATGGTCTGTATTAGTTGAGCCTGTGAGTGTGTCTGTGAGAGCTTTTCTTAATTGGGTTGAGGTGGGGAAATGAATTCGAGTAGCACCATTTCATGGGCTGGGCCCTGAACAGAATGTTAGAAGAGAAAGGGAACTGTGCAGTAGCACGCATGCGTCAGTTCACCGCGCTCTGCTCAGGGGTTGTGGATGCAATGTGACCGGTTGCTTCAAGTTCTCACATCCTTGACTTCCCCACAACAGTGGACAGTGACCTGGAATTGCAAGCCAAAAAAACCCTTTTTCCTTCAGTTGTTTTTGTCAGGGTATTGGATCACAGCAACAGGAAATGAAACTAAGAGACAGGGCCCACAGCTGGACTGAAGTCAAGCCAGAGGGTCTGCAGACAAAGCAACCAGAGCTGCCCTGGGTGGTGGCGGCCCCCAGCTGTCTGCAGAATGAACGAGGCAGGAGGAACAGGGTGTGTACCATCTTAAGGATTAACAGATTGTATGTTCCAAAAAAAGTTTTGCTTAGAAATTAATCATTGCATAGAAAAAAGTATATTTTACTTAAATGTAAACCATGTGGTCAACATAGTGGGACCCTATTTAGAGGGTGGCAAGCTGGTCCACACTGCATGCGGCAGATGCCCCCATCCTTCTGTCTGCCTCTCTTCTCCCAATCTACATCCATATCCTTAAGTGTATTCAAAGCATGGTCTTAGAAAGCAGAAGGAGGGTCACCCACAAGTCCCCCTGGGAAGAGCCATTTGATTTGATTTGATGTGTATGAGTGCATTGTCTGCATGTGTGTAAATGCACCCGTGCCAAGCAATGCCCTCAGAGGTCAGAAGAAGGCATCAGATTCCCCGTGGAACTGGAGTTACAGACAATTGTTAACTGCCATTGTGGATACTGGGAATTGAACCCAGGTCCTCTGCAGGAGCAGCCATCTCTCCAGCATCAGAAGAGCCATTTTAAACTGCTTCTAACTACACTCAGACGGAATGTATTGTGGCCCTGAAGAGCCCTAGTTCTCACCTGGACATAACCACAACTACACCAGCCCTGTTCTCACTGGGGACAGCAGCCTGACTGTCCCAAGATATCAGCCAGGATCAAGTCTAAGGTATATGGGGGCAGAGGGGCTGGGCACAGAATTACCTCTAAATTTGGACACTGAAGATGGTGCCTGACACCCCCAGAAGTTCCATGGGCATATCCTGCCTGACCACAGGGCTGTGATTTAAGACAATGGCCCATCTGCCTATCACGGCCGAATTTCCTTAAAACCACCCAAAGCCTGGGAAGGAAGCACCCAGCCACCTCCTGTGCATAAAAATAGCTGAGCTGTTTTTAAATGGCCTGTCAGGCTAGGCTGTCATTAGCTTCCATGGAGCTGGACAAAAGTTTCCTTGCCCATCTCTTGGGACTTAGCCCTAAAACAGAAGAGGTTCAGGAGAGATGCCAGGGCTGCTACGGGCACCACAGGCTTCTCACACCTCTGCCCATCTGGCATAGATGTGGGCCTATTGCTGTCAGTATGCCTACTTGGAAGCTCTTTGCTGGGCCAGCAGGAAGAGGCCCGTTGAGGCAGGGCTGAGGAGCCTCCCCTGTACAACAGGAGTATGGGGCATCCAGAGTCTACCATGTGCCATGTGTCAGGCTGAGCCTCTGTCCTTCATCCAGTCTGTTCCTTCTGCCTGAATTGCTCTTCCTCTCCACTTGGCCTAGCCAAGACAGTTCCCCTCTCTGCAGCCTGCTCTGAGCACTCCAGTCTCCACAATCTCCCCTTCCTCAGCTTCCTCTGCTGTCAGTCAGAATTAAGGCAGGGTTTCTAGTCACCAAGGCAGCATCTGCCTCCTCAAACAATGATTAAGTTTAGGAGAAAAGGCACGGCAGGATGCCAGGTTGGTCAATGATCACAGTCTCCTAGCTTCTCCTCCACAGACAGCTTCCAGTAGCTTTTAGAATCTAGATTCTAGATAGGCGTTGGGACCCCCATGTGTGCCCCATTGCTGCACTCCCAAATTTGCCATCTTAATGACAACTACCTCTTTCAGCTTCAGGGGCTGAACCCTATCTCCATTTTCAAATCTCCCTTTCTACATCCACATCTATTCGACCAGGGAACCCCTGGCTTCAACACACTTCCAGAGTCTGCCCACCTCACCTGCTGCTCCCAGTTACTCTGTCCCAGTGACGGCCCTGGGCTTCCCTGCATCACCTCCACATCCTGCTGTCAATTCTCAGCGTAGCTCAGGAGACAGATCAACAGTCAAGTCAGTGCCTCTGCTCATAATCCTATACTGACTCCCCTCACACACAGAGCAGCTGATGTCTGAACAAACCCACACAAGGCCCTGCCCAG